ACGCTGGCTCTTCGGCTTAGTAATGGAGATGAGCACCGCCCCCTATGGCAGATACAACTTGACAACCTTGTCAACGGGGAATACCTTTACACTTTACTATACATATATTAAAGAAGCAATTTCCCCAGTAATTTGTATTACTGCAGGAATAACCTTTCATTTAAAAAAAAAACTGCAGGAGGAGGGCAGGACATATTCAAAATTTCGAATGTACATTCCTCTTTTTTAAAAAACCAAATATGGGCCTTTGTAGACTGCCAGAAATAGTGCAAATTGAGTCCACTTTAAGGGTTAGGGTTAGTGCTAGGGAATCATGGGAATTTGGTTTTTTATGAGACATTGAGCCTTCTTTGTCAGAGAGTTCTAGTGCCATAATAAAATACAGTTCCCATGATTCCCTAACCCTAACCCTAACCCTTAAAGTGGACTCAATTTGCACTATTTCTAGCAGTCTGCAAAGGCCCTATGTTTCTTATTTTCCCTTTCTGTTGCTGTTTTAAATTTCAGCATATAGAGAGTAATTATCAGTGCCTCGCAGAAGTATTCACACAGTCTTTTAACTTTTTCACATTTTCTTGTGTCACAATCTGGATTTAATTGGCATTTTTACCACTTCATGAACACAAAATACTGTGTGCATGAAGGTTCACTGTGAAGCTTCAAAATATTTTTATTATGGCACTTTGTAAGTACTTACACATACCCCATCCAATACTAGGTGGAAGCATCTTTTTGCAGCAATTACAGCTGTGAGTCTTCATTGATAGGTCTTTATCACCTTTGTGCATCTGGATCTTGCAATTTTTGTCTGTTGTTTTTAACAAAATTGATCCAATTCTGTCAGGCTGAATGGAAACTGTCGCTGAACAGCAAATTTCAAGTCTTGCCACAAATTCTCAGTTAGAATGAGGTCTGGATTTTGATTGGTCCATTTGATGACATTTAAGTTTATTTTTAAACTACTCCAGTGTTACTCTGGCCGTGTGTTTAGAGTTACTGTCCTACAGGAAAGTGAACCTCTTCCCCAGTCCTAGCTGTCTTGCAGACCTATACTTGTTTTCCTTCAGAATTGCCCTGCATTTGGCTCACTATATCATAGAATCATAGAATCATAGAATCATAGAGTTGGAAGAGAC